TGGCCGACCCACCCTCGCTTCCCCTTATCCCCCCGAAACCCTAACCCACCAACCGCATCACCTCCCACTCCCCCTCCCACGATCCCCACACTCCTCTGCCTCCCTCCCTCGATCCAGATCGGATCGGGGCAATCGGGGCCCGATCCCGAGCTCGCCTCGCCGTGGCTCCCGTTGACGTCGTCGCCGTCGCCCGCCCCGCACCACCTCGTTGGAGCCCCTCGCCGCCTCAACCCCGTCGCCCCGTCGCCGAACCCTCCACGCCACCAGCACCTCCGACGCCGCCACTCGGAGCCCGCCGTCCGTCTGCCTCCTCGACAGCCCGTCGTCCCCGTCCTCCTCGAGCTCAAGCCCGCTGCCATTTTCCCCACGAACGCCGGTGAGGCTCCGGCCTTTCCCTCTCTCTATCTCCGTCCGTGACTGCGCCCGACCACCAACCCTTACGCGCGCCGGCCGCGCACCGCGGTCCCGCCCAGCCCGGCGTGTCACCGGGCGCGCTCGCGCCCGCCTCCATCCGCGTGCACGCGCCCACCGCCTTGACTCGCCCGCCATTCGCCTACCGCGCCTGCGCCTCCCCACACGCCGCCGCTCGCGGCTCCACCGGTGTCCGCCACCATTGCCCCTGGCCGCCCCCTTCCCCACGTCGCTCTGTCTCTCCCCGCTCGCCGCTCGCGCCCTGCTCCCGCTGCCCGCGTTGCTGCTCGCCGGAGCCACCGGCCCATGCAGCCACAGCTCCGCCCACCGCCTCACCAACCAGCCTCCGCTGCTGCTGGTCCGCGCCCGCGGCCACCCCTCTCCGTCGACGCCCCGTCTCCGGCCGCTCCAGCCGCCGCGACCGGCGTCTCCCCTGGCCGGCGCCGTGGCCGCCATTGCCCTGCTGCGCCGGCTTAGTGGGCTCCGCCCGCTAACGGGCGCCCCGCACGCCCATTCGCCCGCAAGCCCCCCTGGGCCAATGACGAACGGGGCCCACGCCCAGAATGAAAATAAAAAAATAAAAAAATTAAAAAAGTAAACTTAATAAATTAATTAATTAACTAAACTAATTAAATTAATTAATCCTAGTTAATTAATCTAATTAATCGGTTAGCTTAATTAAACAGTAGTTTGTTTAGCCTAATCCCTAATTAACTAAAACAGTCAATGACAGGGGGGTCCCACCCCTGTTGACCAGTCAAACGTTGACTGGTCAACTGGGTCCCTCTGGCCCACCTGTCAGTCACGGGGTACACTTTTGTGTACACTGTGCTGGGTGCGCCTAGCAATTTAGCAACTATTTCCGAATTAAAAATAATTCCAAAAATTAATAATTTTTTTAGAAAATCATATCTTTTAATCCGTAACTCGGATTAAATTATTTTCAACATGAAAGTTGCTCAGAACGACGAGACGAATCCGGATACGCAGCCCGTTCGTCTGCCACACACCCCTAGCATATCAAACACGCAACTTTCCCCCTCTGGTTCATCTGTCCGAAAACGCGGAACATTGGGGATATTTTTCCGGATGTTTCCCCCTTCACCGGTACCACCTCATACCGCATTAGGGCACGCCTAGCATCACGCTTTGTCATGTCATGCATCGTCATGCACTTGCTTGCTATGTATCTATTGTTTCATCCCCCTTCTTCTCTTCGGTAGACCTCATGACGATGTTGATGCCCCTGTGGTCGACTACGTCGCCGACGGCCCCTCCTTCTTGTCTGAGCAACCAGGCAAGCCCCCCCCCTTTGATCACCAGATATCGCCTACTCTTCTCCCTACTGCTTGCATTAGAGTAGTGTAACATGTTACTGCTTTCCGTTAATCCTATTCTGATGCATAGCCTATCCTTGCCACTACTGTTGATACCTTTACCTGCAATCCTAATGCTTAGTATAGGATGCTAGTTTATCATCAGTGGCCATACATTCTTGTCCGTCTGCCATGCTATTTTATCGGGCCGTGATCACTCGGGAGGTGATCACGGGTATATACTATATACTTTATATAGGATACATGTGGTGACTAAAGACGGGTTGGCTTGTGGAGCACCCGCGAGTGATTCATGGATTGGGGGCTGAAAGGACCTTTGTCCCAACGACCCTCTGTGTGGATCTTTGTGGCGAAGCGACAGGGCAGGTTGTGACCACCTAGGAGAGAGGTGGGCCTGGCCTTGGTCGGTGTTCGCGGATACTTAACACGTTTAACGAGATCTTGGTATTTGATCTGAGTCTGGCTACTGGCCTATACGCACTAACCATCTACGCGGGGACAATTATGGGCACTCGACGTCGTGGTATCAGTCAAAGCCTTCGTGACGTCAGCGACTGAGTGGCGCGCGCCGGATTGGACCGTAAGCCTGCTCTTGTATTAAGGGGGCTAGTTCTGCTTCCGGCCGCGTTCACAACGTGCAGGTGTGCAAAGGGCGATGGGCCCAGACCCCTGCGCCATAGGATTTAGACCGGCGTGCTGACCTCTCTATTGTGCCTAGGTAGGGCTGCGACGTGTTGATCTTACGAGGCCGGGCATGACCCCGGAAAGTGTGTCCGGCCAAATGAGATCGAGCGTGTTGGGTTATGTGGTGCACCCCTGCAGGGAAGTTAATCTATTCGAATAGCCGTGATCTTCGGTAACAGGACGACTTGGAGTTGTACCTTGACCTTATGACAACTAGAACCGGATACTTAATAAAACACAATGTTCCAAGTGCCAGATACAACCGGTGATCGCTCTCTCACAGGGCGACGAGGGGAGGATCATCGGTTAGGATTATGCTATACGATGCTACTTGATGCTACTTGGTGAACTTACCATCTACTCTCTCCTACATGCTGCAAGATGGAGGTGGCCAGAAGCGTAGTCTTCGACAGGATTAGTTATCCCCCTCTTATTCTGGCATTCTGCAGTTCAGTCCACATATGATACCCTTATTCCATTTGATACCCATGCATATGTAGTGTAGCTCCTTGCTTGCGAGTACTTTGGATGAGTACTCACGGTTGCTTTCTCCCCCTTTTCCCCTTTTCCTTTCTTTCTGGTTGTCACAACCAGATGCTGGGTCCAGGAGCCAGACGCCACCGTTGATGACGACTACTACTACTCGGGAGGTGCCTACTACTACGTGCACCCCGCTGACGATGAACAGGAGTAGTTTAGGAGGATCCCAGGCAGGAGGCCTGCGCCTCTTTCGATCTGTATCCCAGTTTGTGTTAGCCTTCTTAAGGCAAACTTGTTTAACTTATGTCTGTACTCAGATATTGTTGCTTCCGCTGACTCGTCTATGATCGAGCTCTTGTATTCGAGCCTTCGAGGCCCCTGGCTTGTAATATGATGCTTGTATGACTTATTTTATTTGTAGAGTTGTGTTGTGATATCTTCCCGTGAGTCCCTGATCTTGATCGTACACGTTTGCGTGTATGATTAGTGTACGGTCAAATCGGGGGCGTCACAGAGCCCTTGCGAGGAATTTTTGCAAAGGAGGATCTCATTGAGCACATTGGCAAAGGCAAGGGCGGTAAAACTGGACAATTTTACATCCATTTCATTTAATTCATGTGTGATTTGATCATTGGATCATTGTTGTATTCGGAACAATTCTTGTATTGAATTATTAGTTTAGATCGGTGATTTAAATAATTATTGTAATTTGGATTCATAATATTTACATTTTACCATATATTGAATTTATAATTCTGTATAATATGTGAGATATGTGCCAAATTCTGAAAAAAAACACGTGTTTTGCGGGCTGGCGTGGGCTGCGGCCGAACAGACCCTGCCCGCAGCCCACACCAGCCTGCAAAACATGTTTTTCATGAATTGTAAACACATTATAAAGGTCTGCGATATAAGGGGTCTACTAGAGATATTCTTAGCAACTGCTGCCATCCTTTTAAAAGATACAACGATGCATGATAAACTTGCAAAATTCAGTACGGCGTTCAAATATTCACCGCTCTTTTGACTAACCTTGTGCTCACATGGTTGTCGAATTAAGCAACATTTAGTCAAAGATTATGAAAATGTTGAGAGCACAAAGATCCTTCGTTTCTAGATCGACGGAGAAAATTTTACGAAAAAACACACACACGCACATCGCTCACACGTCTCCTTTATCACTCATTTTGTCATATGTGAACAGATGAAATCAACAGAAATCTTTTTGGTTTCGGCTTAAAAATGTTTTATATTCTAATTAAAAATCGAATTAAAAATCAGTTTTCATCATTAAATCTGTCTCGGCGAGATCTTCAAAACTAGACCCATGTTGATAGGTTTCGATGAAATTTTTTTTGCCCAAAAGTTGTCATGATGTTTACACTACACTTATCATCGTGCTTAAACTAAAGTTGTCATGCGGCAATTTCAATTTGTAGAGAATGACAATTTTTAGTGTTTGATGATGGCAACTCCAGTATTTTGACCATTAAAATTATTTTTTATATAAACCATGGCAATTTTAAGTGTATGTATCATGGCAATTTTAGTTTATGGTTCATAGCAGGTCTAGTTTCTTAATTCCTCGTTTTATAAATGTCAAAATTTACTTTTTAATGTAGAAGAAAATAGCGGTAACATATTATGGCAACTTCAATGTAAACATCATGGCAATTCATGTGCAATAAACAAGACAACTTTTAACCCCCCAAAAAATTCGTCGAAATATATTGATACGAGATCTAGTTCGAAGATCTCGTTGCGAGTGATTTAATGATGAAAACAGATCTTCAATTGAATTTTTCATTTAAGAGATAAAAATTTTAAAAACTGAAAATCAAAAAGATTTTTATATGCATGCGTGCGATGACACGGCGCAATCTGGAGATTTTCACCAGATCCATGCATGCTATCCTGGGGTCACGTACGGCGCACCCGACGCAGTCACCAGTCCACCACCCGCTTATCCTGTCTGTAAACAAATCTCTGAGCCCCCGACCTGAGCACACTTGTCATTTTGCTCCAGCCCGGCAGGAAAAGAAGCTTCGCTCCGCCACCCGCGTATAAGACAAGAACCCAAGAAGCAAAATGGAGGTGGCCGGCGCGCTCGCCTCCGTCCTCTTCGCCGCCTTCTCGCTCCCTTGCCTCCTCCTGCTCGTCGTCGTGGCCGAGGCCGGCCTCCGCCTCGCCGCGCTCGCGCTCCGCGGCGAGGCGTTCGGGTGGCCGTCGCGCTCGGCCTTCCTCGGCTACCGCATCGCGCGGGCCGGCAATTTCTCCTCCGCCGCCACGGCCGTCGGCGGCGGCGTCTTCCAGCAGGAGGAGCTGCTGCCGGCCGAGTACCTCGACCTCCTCGCCGTGGCGGTGTACCGCCGCGGTGGAGACAAGTGGGCGGCCGTGGACTGCGTGTTCTGCCTGTCGCGGATCGACGACGGCGAGGAGGTGCGCGAGCTCCGGTGCCGTCACGTCTTCCACCGCGAGTGCCTCGACTCCTGGCTCCTCCGTCCGCGCGCCACGTGCCCGCTCTGCCGCGACCGCCTCCTCCCCTGCGAGCCTCCCCGCGCCTGCGCACGCGCCCTCCACGACGACGAAATCTACGTCGACGAGCACGAGGACCCGCCCTCGTCCTCCTCCTCGTCCTACTCCCACGACGCCGCGCTGTGGCACATGTAATCAAGCCAGCAAACGATCAATGCGGGCCGGCCGTTCACTCCCCTGCGCCGCTTGCTCCATTTTTACCACGCGAGAGGCAGAGTTCCCGTTCTTTTTACCTCCTTTTCCCCCGTTCACGTAGCTGGTGAAATCTCTCGCTGAAAAAGGTGATGTATAGGGCGAAAAAGCATTGCAGAGACCGAGCTCCACATAGCTCTTTATTTTTTTCAGCGAAAATACTATTTTCACACATTAAAAAAATCTGAAAAAAAGTCTATACATACATGTGTATTTGTATTATACACGTATGAAATTTCATGAACATATATGTTTTCATGTAGTGTATATGAAAAAGATAAATACACAGATTAATATAGGCTATATCTTTGTTGTTTTTATGTCAGATATTTATCTTTTTTGTGTAGCACGCAAATAACTGAATTACATGATGAAACTTTTTACCTACTTGACAAACATGCATATGTATTTGTATAAACTTTTAAGTATATTTTGAATTTTTTTAGCAAAACGGGCTCAATAGAGCCCGGCCTCTGCAACGCCGCACTCGATGTATAGGTGCATGGCTGCTATTGCCGTCCCGTGATGCTGTCTTGTCTTGGTAAATGATGCTTGGCAGATTGCTTTTATGGATAACGATGGCTCACCCGCCGCTCTTAATTCCCCACTTTTTTCAATGATGGCAATATTGTGATTCAATTGTACGCACGATCTTTTTTCTCTCTGTCTTCTAGAAGGTTAAAGTATCCATCTCTTTTTTCTAAATCTCCATCCATATCTCTATTAAGATTTAAGAGCTTATGTAAAGGTGGTCAATGGATCGAGCGTCTTCTTATCATGATGGATAAATGGTAACAGTGACAACCAACTCAATGAGCAGTGCATCTGCCAACCATAATCGACCAGACTAGGCGGATCGACCTGTTGGGCTTGCGATCGATGAGTTGGAGATGCGTTCCGGCTTGCCAACTCTAACATTGCGGAAGAAATACATCACACAGAATGAGGATATAGTTGAAGGCCTGCGTGTCTGCCTCGGCAAGGTCAACGCTTTCACCGTGTCAGTTCAGGGTAAGTGACGGACGTGGCCTTGCTATTTTGTAGGATGAGTGTTGTTATTCATTCAAGGAAGTCTATTGTATGAAATGGATGAAATGCTAATGAAAGAAGAGATTATGTGGAAACCAAGATCCAGGGCACATCTAAATGAGTGAATCTAGATTGTTATTTTTTAGGGTGTGTTTAGGGCCGAAGCATAGCCGCCATTACTGCGAACTGGGAGGGGATCACGACGACCACCAACAGCAG